CAGCACTCCTGAGCCTTTGGGAACCCTCCTGCCCCTCAGTGGTCATTCTACAGGACTCGCCCTTCCAGACACTGGTCACGGCTGTTCCCAGCTGTAGATTTTTCTTCCCTGGGGATTTTGGAACGGGGACCCAGCCGGAAGGTAGTCTCCCTTGGGGATGCTGCAGCTGAAAGACATAAACACAGTGGCCATGTTTCATCTTACCACAGGGATAGCAGGCAGAGGAAGCAGGGCCTTGGCAAGAGAAGTGAAAGGCAGGAGACTAACATGGGGGACGGGGGGGGGGGAGACAGAGGGAAAACAGATGGTGATGGATGGGGGTCCCCAGCCCCAGCTCTCTGGAGGCCCAGCTGCAGCCCTGCTTTGAGAGAGCACCTGCATTTTTTCAGTTTGCCTATAGTGCACAGAAGCATGCCTCACATTAAGGCCTTTCCTGAATCTTAATTTCCCTTGAAAAGCTCAGCAACTCATTCTTGGGTTTCAAGTAATGAAGTTATGTTGATAAAATAATCCCAGGTCCCCAACTTCTGGCTCGCTCATCCTTTCCCACTTGGATGCCGTGCTATTATTTCAAACTTAACATGTGTAGAATTGAATACCTCCTGTCCTCCCAAAATTGGTTTGTGCTTCAGGGAAATGGTCTAAGAACTAGAACAGTGGCTGCATAATGGAATTGCCTCAGTACTCTAAGAAAATACTGATCTGAGGCTTTAGAGAACTGAACTGGAATCTCTATGGGTATAGCCCAAGCCTTTGAAAATTCCCCAGGTGGGTGCAGCCAGATGGAGAATCATGGAGCAGCCTAAGGCAAGCAAGCTGAACTACTACTCCCAAGCCCTCTGCTCATGGCGGACACCACCAATCACTTTCTTTACCCTGGGGCTAGAAGCGCCCCAGTAGCCTTCACCTCGTCCACCATGAAATCACTCAGACCTGGCTTGAGAGAAGAAACATATCTGCCACCTTGTACTAGTAGGAAACAGCAGAAGGATCTATTATCTTATACTTTAGAATCCAGCCTACAAGATAATGATTGGACTAAGTGTGACCCAAGACTCAATCAGGCTCAAATAAATGTTTGTTTTCTCGAGTCTTGGTTTAATGAGGTGTCAAGGAGAAAAATGTTCTCATTTGGCTTAGGATTCTAGGGACTTTGGTTTTCATTTTGCAAACCAGTTCTTGCTCCTAGTATGAAAAGGAAGGGGGTAGGGTGGGAAGCATTTCTGTGTGTTCCTTTTTTCTTCTCTGATTACCCCCAAAAGAGCTTTCAAATGATCTGTTAAGTATTTAAGTACAAAAGTCATAAACTAATTGCAAAAAATCGGCTTACTAGAGTGACAGGAAAGACATTCCTTTGCTTTTCAAAGGCTTTCCCACATTGGGAGCCAAAAATACTATCTTCTGACCCAAAAAGTCACTAATAAACCTTGTTCCTATAGGCCAAACAAGATGGATGATTCTTGCCCTAAGGAAACCAGCAATGAGGACAGACTTGTTCTTTCCACTCTCGCATCTCCCTTTCCTACCTTTGCCACCTTCCTCTTCTAGGTACTCCCACCTCCAGTTGGGTGGCCTACAATTCCCAGAGTTGTCCCCACAGGCTTCCTTAACCCAAGATAAAATCCTCTCCTCCCTACCCCATCCAAATTCCCAATCCCAACTAGATGCTAGGCACAACCTCTAAAAGCACAGGCCCTGCACTCACTTGCTCTCTGTAGGTTATTTATCAACAGGAGACTGTTTCCTTTCCATTTATTTAGGAATCTAGAGAGTAAGAAAAGGCTGCCCGATGGGGGCAAAAAGAGGAAAGCTGGCAGTAATTAGGGCATTTGCTGGACTGATGCACCAATAAAAAGTCAAGTTATCAGCACTATATTTTTTTGCTACTGATTCACTGAATCAGTGAACAAACAAACAACAAAACAAAAAAGGCAAACAAACAAAAAAAAACTCAAAAAAGCCAAAATGGTAAACTTCAATTATGAAGACAATTCATAACTGATCATTCATAATTATTCCAAATGGCAAGATAAATTAAAATGAGCTATTATTTACATTTTAAAAGATAAGGGTGTTATCTCGTGTTAACCTCTAAATAGCAGGTGGGTGGGAGAGGAGTTATATTATTAAGCCCTTTGTCAATTCCTTGCTTCAAAAGACTCTAACCCTTGTGTCACCAAAAACCTCAAAGAGATCAATAAAGGGTACCCATTTTTCTTAAAGTTTGATATAGTGAACCAGGCCTCTGAAGCTATCCTAAAAGAATTAAGAACAAACAGGAGGTAAGCAGAACTCTCTACAAGGCCACACACCTCTGACGACATCTCTGCTTATAAAAAAAACATTCTCATCTCCCCCTCTTCCAACTCAGGAGGCTTCATCAGTAAGCAGCCAATGACAGTAAACATTATTTGTTATTTATAATGTCCAACAGCATACTGTGTTTGTGTGGACAAAGCTCAAGAGCACAGGGATTATATTTTTAGAGTGTGATATAACTGTGGGGTAGGAAAACTCCAATCACGGTATCCTCAAAATATCAGAATAAGATAGAGAGGCAGACAGTACAACCTAGGGGCACAAGCCTGTCCATGTTCACAAAGGTTTCCTCTGCCCTCACTGGCTGTCCACTGCACCCCCTGCCCTGCCACTGTTTCCTAAACGCTAGTGCCGCGCAAAGCTTCAGTCTATGCCCTCTTCTCTTTATTTTTCCTCATCTCATTTTTCTCTAAAATACCTTCTTAGAAGACTTCATCTCCCCATTTCAAGTATATCCCAAATGCTGACCAACACTCAGTGCAGACCCTTCTCCTGCGATAGACTTAAATACCCAACTGCTTATTTGATAGAATTACCTGAATATTTTAAAAGCACTTATTTAAAAGTGAATACAGCACGCTCTTTCTTCATGCCCAAAGACTTCTCCTTTTAGATCAGGGTTTCCCACTGGACTAGTAAATCCCTAGCCACCTTCCCAGTACACAGCTAAAAGAGCATCTCTGGGACAGTCACGTCAAAGATCTATGGCTCGTCAGAAGTATACTGTTTAGGAAAGAGAGAAAGATGTGAGTGAGACCACGCGGACTAGCATGCTACGTTTGTTTTGTGCATCACTAGGTGAACAGGAATATATATGTACATGCACACAACACCCACATATGTATTTCCTAATGTCTCATAAAGAAACAAAAAAAGAATAAATCAAAGTGATAAAAATGATTACCTATAAGAAGGGGAAAAGAAAATACTGAGATTAAAGGCATCTTCTGTGACTACTGTTACATGGTTTTGAATTTGGGAAATGTACTTAAATGTTTTACATAAATTTCCAATTAAATCCAAAAGGAAAAAAAAAACTCTAAAAATTAAAAACAAGCTGAAGCAAATTAACTATTTGTCCAGTAAGAGTATACCTATATGAAGAAAAGAATTACTAAATGCAGCACTTTGAAAAACACCCCTACTGAGAAATATTCTAACACCACAAAGAAATGCCACATTTTATTCTGAGTTGTACTGTTAGTAGTAAAGATCAATATAACTATTTTTAAATTATAATAAGTCTATTGTAGGTGCACAGAGTTTTCTAAGATATTCTTAGAAAAGTCCTGCTTACAAGATTGGCCTTTGGCCAGCATCTGGGAAACTGGATTTTGGGTGGTTCCCACAATTCCCAGAATTGATAAAAATGTATTACTGTGCTTAAACTGTTTGTGCAACAATATGACTAATGTGGAATACCTGCTTTTCTTCTGGAAGTCTGGAAGGTCTGAGCTAAGTAGGGGTTATATAAATGTCCCCAATAAAAATGGTAGGAATGAGTCTCTCTAATGAGCTTCCCTAGTAGACAATCTCTCACACAACGCAGTGTAACTATCATTGAGATCATTTGAGCATTACAAAAAATTAAAATTGATTAATACCTACCAAATACAAAAAGTACATGTTCCAAATGCTATGAAAATCAAAGCTTTGTTGATCCCGACTAGAGTTTGTTGGAGTCTAAACTTCTTACTCTAAAAATTAATCAATAAGGAGAGAGACCCAAACATTTATCCTGTCTTTTAGTATGAACAACATTTCAGAGTAACCATGCAGATGATAAGGAGTCTTCACTGGAGAAGGAAATAATGGGTCTAAGTAAAAATGAATTCTGAAACCATGTAGTTTTGTAAAAGACTGATGGGAATTTAGAATGGAGGAATCACCTAATACCACCGGAGTCCAACAAGCAATCCTGGAATGTCTAAATGTGTGATACCCAGACACCATGCGCATGTTGAGGAGATACAACAGGAATTACATAGCACCTGCTGCAAGTCCCCACCAAATAATCCCATCTGAATTGAATCTAGCTGCTAGATCAAATCTCCTGTTGGCAGAAAATATAGGTAAGAGAAATATGTTAAATGACACCACAGAGAAGCAATCAGCCAAATCCTGGATGACTTGCTTTTGCTTTTTCTAACAAATCAATGTCACGAGAAAGGTTGGGTGGTAGAAGGTGAATGAAGAGACCTATAGAAATCAAGAGTAAAAATAGCAAACAACAACAACAACAGTTTGATCACTCTTGTGTAAAGCCCTCTGGGACCTGCCTGCATTTCTCATGGCCACAGTTACCTTCATTCAGTTCCTGGAATGAGTCCTTTCCCTTAGCCCCTTGCACAGGCAGCCCCCTTTCTCTGGGGGAGGGAAAACAGCTCAGGCTCTACACCAGGGTAAGATCTTACAATACCTTTTCAAAGAAACATTTGCCTCATCCCTGGCCTTCATCAAAGGACTAGAAGTTCCTTGAGGACAGATGTTTTGGCTGTCCAAACATGCAATAAACAATAAATAGAAATTTAAAGTATTAGCCATGTGTTTCAATGCCACCAAGTGGGAATATGGGTTACGCTAAATCATTAAAGCCCAGCCAAGTCCCTGCTGATCTTCACTGCTCTGGTAGTACCCAGCCAGGAAGTCAGAGGAGCTGAGGTTCACAGGGATGGACTCACCGTCTCGTGGGACTTGGGAAGAGGTACAATAATGGCCAGCACACAGATGAGCTGGAAGATGGCCCCCAGGAATAGTCCATACCGCAGCAGGTTCTCCAGGAAAGTGGGCTCGGGCACCTCAGGAGGTGAGAAGTCTAGGTCGGAGGCCATGGTCCCAGGTGCCTGTTGCCTGAGGTCTCCTCTGGTTTACCACTCTCCAGAGTAAATGCTACATACAAAGGGTGAGTGCTATATTAATAATTGAGTTTTTAATGGCTCTATTTGCACAAACATACACATACATAAAAGAATATATAAAGAGACTGTAAAGTGAAATGTTAACAATTCTGGAATCTCAGTGAAGGACATATGGATCATCACTGGACCATTCCTATGAGTGTTTGAAACTTTTCCAAATACAAACTTAGGAAAAATAAGTAAGTGAAGACAAACATTTCAATAAAAATTTCAAGTCGGCCCTCCCTGGTGGCGCAGCAGGTTAAAGCACTGCACTGAGAAGCTAAAGCCACTTCCGCATGAGTTCGATTCCCGCCTGCCCTGGAGGAGACCACATGGCGTGGCAGACCTCTCCTGACCCGCCCGCTGCTCTCCTCAGCAGTGTACTTCAGCGATCTGCCTGTTCTGCTCCCCACTCTGTCTCTGGTGAAGCCTCTCACCACCCCTGAGCCTCTGGCCTGTACCCCAGTTCTGTATGTACAAATAAATAAATCTTAAAAAAAAAAAATTTCAAGTCAACATACATTTACTAAAGGTTTCATTGTTATCCATTCACTCAACAAATATCCAATACCAAGCACTGAACAGAATGAGCAAAACAGACAAATCCCTGCTCACTTGACATACACCTCAGGACAGAGACAGGCAATGCACACATCCAGATATGATTGCTAAGCAGTGACAAATGTTTTGAAGAAAAAAAAACTATGGGTATCATTTTATTTTGTATAGGGTGATAGGAAGGGCCTCTCTGAAGTGAAAGTGATATGAAGTGTGAGTGAGCATTTGAACATCTAAGGGAAGCATATTTCAGCAGAGAGGAAAGCAAGTATAGTCCCAGGGCAGGAGATGACACCAAAAATGGCCAAGAGGAATACTAGAAGGGCAGAGGAAGGAAGGATGATCAGGGTGTCGTAGGACCTGACAATTCCCATTTGAGTAAAACATAAAGCTTTGGAAGTCCTGAGCGGAGAAATGTCATAAGCTGGTATACAATTTAAATGACATAAGGAGAGGCACCAGAGTAGACACAGCGAGAGCAATTGAGGGGGCTACAGGTAGTAACCCAAATAAGAGAAGCTGGAACATGGACAGAGGGGCCTAGTGACCAATGGTGGGATGGGACCTAGACCACTTCTCCAGCCTCTCCTTGTACTAGGTCCCTTACTCTTAACACTGGTCCAACAGAAAAAATTGCCTGTAGTTCTCTAGAGTACTGGGATTTTTATGTTATGTTATTTTTATGTAAATAAGTTATGTTATTAATTTCACCTGGTCTTGAAAAAGAACAAGATTGAAGGGTACATTTTTTGGTTTCAAAACTTAATACAAAACTACAATAATCGAAACAGTATGATACCAGCTTACCAGCCTAAGGATATAGGTCAATGGACTAGACAAAGAGTCCAGACATAAACTTTTATAGATATATAGAAATAGATACATAAATATATATAGATATATAGATATAGATACATAAATATATATATATATATATGAATTGAATATATATATTCAATTAGTTTCTGAACAGGGATGAAACAGAGAATAGTCTTTTCAACAAATAATGCTAGGAAAACTGAGTATCTGCATGCATGTGGAAGAACAAAGATTGATCCTTACCTTATACCACAAAATTCAAGAGCTAAAACTGAGATAGGTAGGTGAGACAGACAGTTTTCAGTTAACAGTTGTATGCACAAGAGTATGTGTGCAACACACTGGAACTGTAACGAATCCCAAACCAGTTTGAGCTGGTTGGAGATAGTAGTGCACTTAATCTGACTTAAAAAGAATGACATTATAATACTAAAGGACACACTTTCAGGTAGCCATGACAGGAAAGCCCAGATCATATAAAAGGGGGAAAGGAATGGCATCCCAATTCCAGGAAAAACCCCTATTCTTCCCCAGAAAATAATTGAATATCCTGCCCCTACAATACAAACACCCCATAAACATGCCCAACACTGTAAACAAGGGGGGTACCCTGCTAATGGGGTAGCCTGTGTCCTGTCTGTTTGGCTTAATAAACAGCTTTGTTTTTTTCTAAGACTCATGTCTGGTTTCTGTCTTTACAAAGTTCAAGAACCGTCACTCCTGATAAACAGGTCTTGGCCCCCAGTGTTAAAATATAAAACCCATCAGAAGAAAACTTGGGGGAAATCTTCATGACATCAAACTTAGCAATGATTTTTTGGATATGATACCCAAAGCACAGACAACAAAAGACCAAAAGAACTTGGTACTTTTGTGCATCAATAAGTGGAAAGATAAAATGAAAAACAGTTTGGCAGTTTCTCAAAAATTTAAACAGGGTCTCCCTGGTGGCTATGAGGGTACCTGCAGCCGCTGTAGCATGAGTTCCATGCTCAGCCAGGGAGCTGACCCACATGGCACAGCAGACCTCTCCTGTCTCGCCTGCTGCTCCCCTCAGCAGTGTATTTCAGAGCATCTATCTGCTCTGCCCACCCACCCCCCCTTCTCTGGTGAATCTCCTGCACCTCCGGTTTGTACCCCAGTCCATGTATGCATAAATCTTTTTAAAACCAATTAAACACAGAATTACATATGACCCAGCAGTCCCACTCCTAGGTATATAACAAAAGAACTTAAAAGCAAGAACGCCAAGCAGATACTTGTACACCAGTGTTCACAACAGCATTATTTTCAGTAGCTCAAAGATGGAAACACTAAAGAGTCCATCAACAGATGAATGAATAAAGAAAATGCATATACAGTTATGCATTGCTTAATGACCAGGATGGTTCTGAAAAATGAGTTGTTAGATAATTTCAGCAATGTTCAAACATCACAGAGTATAATTACACAAACCTAGAAGGTACAACCTACTACACACCTACGTTCGGTGGTATGATACAGCCTACTGCAGTCACCATCACATGCAGTCCATCACTGACCAAAATGGCCTTAAACTATCCATGACTGTACACACATATAAAGGAGTATTATCCGACTGTTAAAATTAATGAAATGCAGATGCAAGCTACAACATGGATGAACATTGAAAACATTATGCTAAGGGAAATAGGCCAGACACAAAAGGACAAACATTTTATGATCCTACTTATATGAAGTACCTAGAATAGGCAAATTCATAGAAATAGAAACTAGACTAGGTTACCAGGAACTGGGGAAAAGACTGAGGAGTTACTGTTATAGGTACAGTTTCAGCTTGGGATGATGGAAAATTTCTACAAATAGAAAGTGGCAACGATTATATAACATTGTGAATGCCACAGGTTCTCAAATAATCTCTTTCCAACACCTTTTCTTTTGTTTCATTACAATGAAATGTTAGTGGAGCATCCGGTTTCATTATATATTATTTCACTTAAAGTTGCAGTTACCAAGAACTTATCAACAATGTCAAAGGAGGAATTACACTGTGTATATGTTCAAGGGGTTAGAATGACATATTTATGTATATTTTACGACAGTGAAAAAAATTTACCTTTTTCTTTTTATTTTTTTAATGTGACAACTAGAAAATTTTAAGTTTCACCCATGGCCTGCATTAGATTGCTCTGGCATGACCCTGGTTAAACAAGCTTCCTTCACACTGGCTCTGTGGCTTCAAGGGCTTTGTACCATTTTTCCATAATGAAGAAATGACTACATGTAGGACCACAAAAATGACCTTCTAAGTAAACAGAGAAGGCCTTACACAAATGCATATGTACCGTATACAAATGAATGTGTCCCTTTCAACCTAGTCACCTAGGAAGGCTGTGCCAGTACCTACTGGGTGGCTACTTTTAGCACCACTTCTGTCTTCTTTGGGAGTGGACTTCAAAGTCTGCAGTCTTTTTTTATCTTCTCAAAATCCCCAGAGCTGGCAGTTATTCATCCTCTCAGGAAGGATTTGACTTCTGGAAAGGATCCAATCTAGTTGGATCCAAGTGTGGTGAATCAGGTGGGGCCTGAAGCTCAGGAATACCATTTTTGGTCAAATACAAGGTATAATGCTCTGACACCAGGCAGATTGTTTGGGTGGCTCATAAGCTGGCCCTGAAGTGAATTCCAAGGGGGTTGTGTGAACAGCCTCACTGGAAAAAACATACATTCCCCAGCTCCAACAGACAAATCCCAAAGTGAAGAAAGTTCTCTGATTTCTTCAGTTGTTCTTCATAATTACACTTCTTTAAAATCAGCCCCAAGTTTTATGCTTAAGGTTGTAACAAGCCTACTGGGCTTGTCAATACTTAGATTTATTAATGTTACTAACAGCAACATTTTTATGAGCATGTGTAGTATAATATAAAGATGGGGCCAGGAGTCAGGCGGAAAGGATGAGATGGGAGGGGCTACAAACCTGAATCTATCAGCAATTAGTTACACTTTGGTTCTTTCTCTTACCTCTTAAGAGACTTGATGTTCTCATGAGTCAAACAACAATAATATCTAAAAAACCTATCATGCCTTCAGGATTTTTTTTTAATGGCAATTAAGCAGTATGTAACAATAGTCATAAAAGTGATTATATCCTTTGATTGAATAACTCACTTCCTAGAATTTACAGTAAGGAAATAATTCAAAAGAAGAAAAAGACTGCAGGTACAAAAAAGTTCATAGTAGGGCTATTCATAATACTATAATAACAGAAAGAAATTTATGTGTCCAACAATGAAGTCACAATTTAATTTAAGCCAACTAAAGTATATCATGGCATATACCCCATTCACTAAAATGGCAAACAGAAACATGTATCAGGACAGCAGAAAGTGTTTGCAAAATGATATTGACTGAAAAAAGAAACCAAGTATATGCCTCTCCTATTGGTCTGCTGTTCATCTTAGTAGTACATCTCAGTACATCTGCCTTTTATGTTCTCTACTGTCTCTGGTAGACTCTTTCACCTCTGCACCTCTGGCTCCCTGCAACAAAGATGTTACAGGTCATGCATGGGTAAAAAAGTCATACAAAGTACAAGATAAACCAGTAAAAAAAATAAATAAATAAACGCTGTGATTGTGGTCATGTATAAACTGATCAAGAAGAGACCATAGGAAAATGAACAGGGTTTTTCTGGAGGGTGGGGATAAAGGAGAAGAACTAACCAAAGAATGTAATTTAAAAGAAAAATCCATGTGCCATCTACTTCCTTAACAAGATTTCTGTTATGATCAAATGAAATGCTGTCCAATAGAACATTCTGCAATGACAAGAATATTCTGTTTGTGCTCTCCAATATGGTGGCCACATGCAGCTACTGAGGAACTGAAATTTTATTTAATTTGAATTAAATATAATTACATGTGCCTAAAGGAATCCCATGTTGGACAATACCTTATACAGGTATAAAGGGAAGGTGGTGGTAAACATCACATGCTCTGTATATACCGTGTGTGCTTTAGTTTTTAGTGCACCCCCATCATTCACTTCCCAGTCTGTCTGCCAGGATTTCTGGGTTTTCCTTTCCTGATTATAGAAATCAGACGAATCCTACTCATCCTGCAACAACCTATAAAAGGCTTTATCCCCCCTCCACTGTCACAGTAGTAGCAGTGAATCATTTGCAAACTGTGACGAGGTCTTCACAATCATTATGGTAGGCAGGGCTTACTAATGAGGATGAGGAAACTGAGGTTTGGAGAAGTTACATGGCCTACCCCCAGATTCAAACTGACTGGCACCTCCAGAGCCTGGACCTCTTACTCACTAAATCAATGGTTTTCTGACTGCAGGTTCTGACTCATTACTGAGACATGAAAACCATGTAGAGAGTTATAGCTAACACTTTATTACCATAACATTATGGTTATGTCCTTAATAAAGGACAACAGAAAACATCACATTGATAAAGGTCAGTATTGTAGCCCAAAGTTTTCTCTCTCTTTTTTTGTAGTTATACCATCTACATATGTTCCGAGTTAGTTTCAAAATGTATTCCTTATTAAGAAATACTACATTTGGGGTCGTAAAGTTTGGGTTTTTTTTTTTAAGATTTTTATTTGTTTATGCATACAAGAATAGGAGTGGAGGCCAGAGATGAGGCAGGGTTTAGAGGATTCACCAGAGACAGAGTGGGGAATAGAACAGGCAGATCTACTGAAATACACTGCTAAGGCGACAGGAGAGGTCTGCTGCGCCATGTGTGTCAGCTCCCTGGCAAGGGATCGAACTCATGTTGCAGTGTCTGGCAACAGCTTGATAGTCCTAAGACTTTAACCCCTGCGCTACCAGGAAGGCCCCTTGTTTTTGCTTTTTTTACCTAGTTCTACTGTAAGCCCTTGAACAGCACAGATCCTGAGGTTGTTCTAGGGTCCAATTCAAATACCTGGTAAATGATAAAACCTGTACCTCTGCTTCTCATGTTTAAAGCAAGAGCAGATATCTCAACCATCTCATTTACCAATGAGGAAGGACAGAGGGCTGGGTTATGCTCTGCCAATGAGTCTGGACAGAACTGAATATCCTGCAATATCTTTAGTCCTACGTGTTGCTCCAGACATTCTTATATACCAGGCAAATCCCATATGCCTACCAGATTTTAATTAAAAGTGCATACATATTTATTACCAAACATGGGAAGTCATTTCTTAAGGTTACTAGATCCCTTGGAGTTCATCCCTGAATACTAGATGCTAGCAGTCAGAGATATTCCTTCTTTGGGCAGATTTATTGATAGATTTATCTCCCATGTATGGGATATTAGTCTAGTTCCTTCCATGGAGTTTTCATCCAATTGGAGGCATTCAACCACACACATACACACATGATAAATGTCGGAGGTGAGTATTATGAGAAAATAGGAAGAGAGGAAAGCAGTGCTATTTTATGTGAGGTGGTAAAGGTAGGGGTGTTCTCTGAAAATGCTTGCAGCAAAGGCAAGAAGAAAGTAAGAACAAGTCATAAATATTCACTAGAAACTACCAGGATGAAGGAATAGTAAAGAACAAGGACCCAAGGCAGGAATGAACTTCATGATCAAGGAAAACAAGGATTGTAAGTAAGATAGGATTGGCCTTCCTTTTCAAAGAGAAGACACTGGAAGATGCTTAACAAAGAACTGACATGGTATGACTCATTTTAAAATGATTCCCTGGCTGCTATGTTGAGAACAAAATGTAGGTGCATGAGACAGGAAACAGGGAGTCCAGTTAGGAGATTATTTATAACAATAAGGAAAAAAAAAAACACCACACCGGCAGTGACCAGGGTAGTGACTTTAGATGGTAGTCTCAGGTTATAGATATTTTGAAACATCAACAGAATTGTTGAAGGGAAATCGGAAAAGAATCTGAAAATTATCCTTGAAGGAGATGGAACTATTCTGTATGATACTGTAATGGTGAACAAATGCACTAAGCATTTGTCAAAATCCACAGAACTTTGTAACACAAAGAAGAAACTTTATGTCCCCCCAAAATTATTTAGGAGGTCAGATTCTGCCAGAATGTAGAATTGTGACATTCTAAATCTAAGTATATCACAAATGTATTAAACAGCTTCACTGAAGGGGTGGGGGAAATCAGGTGCTGACCTAAGTAACTATGTAAATGAGCAGAGGCCAGGAAACCAGCAAAAGGAACTGGACGTGTGCACTGTTTTCAGACTGGTAAAGTTGTTAATTCTGACATCACATATACTGGAATTTAAAAACTAAGTAAACGGATGTTAGATGGTATGGTCTAGGTTTGGTACAGTTGGGATGGGAGGCTAGAGTTAAGTCAGAAAGGAGGCTAGAATGATGCATGTGAAATGGATGAGAACTGTAGACATCAGTATAGACTCTAGCTTACCATACACAGAGATGGCTACATATAGAAATATTTACATGTGTGCACACACACAGGTTAGAATACACACATACAGCTCTTGTTCTGCCCACTGAGAAAGCCTAGAACCAAGGGCCTCCCAGTAGCACCCAGATCTTTCTAATACCATTCTCCACTAAAAGGAACCAGAGCTCCTTAGAAAAACGATTAATTCTAGGACTGAAGGATACATACAAGATGAGCCTACAGTTGGAGGTAAAAGTGTTCCAAAAACCCAAAACAAGTAACACGTTCACTGGGATATGTCAAAGGGAGATAGGAGTCAACTGGAAGACCTCCCTAAGGGCCAAAGTTATAACAAATTGAGAGACAAAGTACTGGATTTTAACTCAAAGTAGGAAAAGAAATATCCATGAGGCAATACCAATATAAATAAATGACTGAGAATTAAGTGGGAGGTGGGCAGGTGGGAGTAATACATTTCCCACGGAAAAGAACTCCAAATAATATATGTTAAGTATCTGCCTGTAAGTGAGGCATAATGCCACACTCCTCATAATAGCCCACACTCTCTCCCAAGAGAATATGGAAAAGTTTCTACTGTAACTTTACAGTAGAAAAACTTGAGGGCTTCAAGTCAGCCACTGGATTAGCATTAAGAGTAATAACATGGTTAGCGTGCACCACTGATGTAATGTGATGAGACTAGCACCTTACCTCTGAGGTCTTTTTCCAAGAAACCATAACCTCAGTGTAATCATAAGAAAAACTTCAGACAAATCCCAACTTAGAGTTATTTTACAAAATATGTGCCCAGTACTACTCAAAGTTGTCAAGTTTATCTAAAATTAGTGTGAGAAACTATCACAGCCAAGAGGAACCCAAGGAGACATGTCTACTAAATGTAATGTGATCTCCTGTAACAGAAAAACGACATCAAGGAAAAACTGAGCTAATGTGACTTACCAATACTAGTTCATCAATGATGATAAATGTAACCATGCAAATGTAAAATATCAAAAATAGGAGAAATTGGGTGTGGGTTATGTGGGAAGTCATTGCAACATTTTGGTAATAATTTTGTAAATCTAAAGTAAAGTTTATTTTTTAAACGTCAGCAGGGCTTTCAAGGTAAGCCCTGAAAGGTTAAGTCTAGCTCTCCAGACTTAACAAACAGTAACGAAATCTTCTTTAAGGTTGGAAAATGAGATTCTTGGCTTATAATGGACTAACTGAAAAATTCTGAGAATTCAACTGAAACAGGCACCAGAACAAAAAAATCAGTGACAGGAACTACTGTCTTAGCGCATTGGTCTGTCTATACCCAAACTCGTCCCGTTACAACAAACTTCCAAGAACAGCTCAAAACTGGGCTTGAATATTGTCCTATGGAAAACGAAGGTAATTCCTAAGTGGCAGTCAGAGGGCTGAAACAGACACGCAAATGTACTGTAAAATATTCATAATGGGAATCTGTTGCCACCATTTTTTTAAAGTTGGGGGCTTCACATATTCATTTCCCGATTTTTTTTTTTATGCATACAAGAACTAGGTGTAGGCCAAGGATATGGGGGAAGTGAGAGGATTCACCAGAGACAGAGTGGGGCGCAGAACAGGCAAAATGACGAAAGCAGGCCCTCGTTTTCCAATTGTTAAAAAGAATGAATCCCTGCAGCAACACGCAGTGCGCACATACTAAGTGTTTCTGCATTCACCATCTCGTGTAATCCTCAGATCAAGTCCTTGTGCCCATTCCACAGAGGAGGAAACTGAGAACTAGAGGCAAGTAGACAGCGCCCCCAGTTAGGAGGCCACACGGTACACAAAGGATTCAAACCCGGGTCAGAACGCCTCTGGCTCCTCTCAGGGCTCCACCCGCGTAGGGACAGGCAGCTCAGGGACTGATGTGCACCAGCTCCTGGCCCCGGCTCCGACTGAAGCGCAGGAAGGCGCCACGCAGGGCCCTCACTTCCCGGAGTCCCAAATTCCCCTCCGCAAGTAACTGCCTACGGGAGACCAGCGGCGACACCCGGGGCCAGCCGGGGCCAGCCGGGGCCAGCCGGGCCGCGGCGCTCGAGCCTAAGCCCCTCTCGGTTCCCGCCACCTCCGCGACTCCGCCCTGCGCCGCGGTCCGGTCAGGCCGCCGGCGCCACACTCACCTCCCGCGCCGCCGCACCGCGTCACGACCCCGGAAATGGTTCCCCACGAATCTGGATCCCGGAAGTGACGCTACCGAGCAACCAGCTCGCTTAGCTCCGCCCGCGTTGCTAGTTTGGTTGCGTGTGGGCGCTGAGTGTTTTCGGAGCTTTCTCCGCTTTTTGTGGATATAAGCGGAGGGACAGCCCTGGGGAAGCGACAGCCAGAACCCCTCGATTCTCCAAGATCCTGTATTACTCAGCGTTTCTCAGCAAGTATTTGTAGAAGCCTTAGTTCTATGCAAAAACTTGAGCTTTGAGCTTAAAATCCAGAGGAGTGACAAGCACGTTCTTACCGTTTACAGAAGCAAATTATTACGATGAGTTCAGAGCTTTCGCTTAGCATCTGTTCTATGCCTTGGGCTGATTTCTGGAGCTACAGTGCTGAACCAGACAGAAGCGGTCTGTGCCTTCATGGTGCTTACAGTCTAGTTTGGGAGAGGGAACCTCCAGGATTCCTGGTGTGGTGTCCGTGCATTTGGTTAGCCCCTCTCACAATGGCTAAGACGGACTATGTAACAGGAGGTTATACGATGAAGCATTAGTTAAAAATAAAGAGGTAACATTACTTCTGTATTCTGTGTGATTGATTAATAAAGGTGCCAGACATTAGCTCTTAGTCTGTAAGCGCAGAAAGGGTAGGGACAACTCATCATTGTCTTTCTAGTTTCATAGCACATTATCGAGAGTGGAAATTCCATAAATATTTGTTAAATGAATGCTACGTCTTTAGACTCTCCATATTACCTCACATAGTATGGAATTAGTGGCTGCTGAGTAAATTATAATTATTTGTTTGTTCTCCAAGAGTGAGCTCCATGCGGGTAAAATTAAGTCTCATTCTTTTTTCAATCTCCAACACTTACCTCCTCCTCTTTGATCTTCTTTGTATTAGTTATCTGTGCCCCTAAAAAATTACCCTGAAATTTATGAACTTAAAACAACAACACATTACTTCACAATTTCTGTGGGTCAGGAATTCAAGAGTGACTTTGCTGAGTGTTTTTGGTTCATGGTATCTCATGAGATCATAGTAAAGTTTTTTTTTTTAATTTTTTTTAAAGATTTATTTACTTATTCATACAGAACTGGGGTACAGGCCAGAGATGTGGAGGGTGAGAGGATTCACCAGAAACAGAGTTGGGAGCAGAACAGGCAGATCGACGAAGTACACTGCTGAGGGGAGCAGCGGGCTGGCAGGAGAGGTCTGCCTTGCCATGTGGATCTCCTCCGGGGCAGGCAGGGATCGAACTCATGCGGAAGTGGCTTAAGCTTCTTAGTGCAGTGCTTTAACCCGCTGCGCCACCAGGGAGGGCCCATAGTAAAGATTTTGACTGGAGCAGCACTCACATGAAGGTGACTGGGGCTGGAGGACCCACTCTCAAGATGGCTCACACAACGCTGGTGACAAGTTGTTGGTTTTAACAAGAGTTTTCACTTACTATCCATGAGAACCTCTTTCTGGAAGTGCTTGAGTGTCCTCAAAACATGAATTCCCCATTAAGGGTCAAGAAAGAGCAAAGAGATCAGAGTAATGTTTTTACAAGTCAAGAAATACCAAAGATTGCCTGCAAACTCCTAGAAACAAGGAGAGACCCATAGAATAAATTCTCTCTTCCAGTCCTCAGAATGTACTGACAGATTCCTAGCCTCCAAAATGGTGAGAAAATAAATATCTTTAATTTCTATATTGTTTAAGTCACCTAGTTTGTGGTATTATGTTGTGAAATCCCTACAAAACTAATACGGATGTGAAGGTGCTTTGAAAGCTGTTATTCTCTGAGTTCAAATATACAAGAACCCTAGTGTAGGCACCTAGCACCATACAGCCATAGTTACTATCTCATTCTCTGGAAATTTCTGGAGAGCTCCAACTGAGTCTTTCTCACCTCTGTGTCCCATATGGCTCCACTGGCACCATGGCATGATGGGGAGCACTATGGCATGTTGTTTCTAGCTGTATGAGGCGCTCGCTTGCACTATGACAGCAAAAAGTTGAAAAAGGCAAGGTCTGTGCTCTGAAAAATAATTCTACAGCAGATGAACATAGGACAGGGTGAACTGGTTTGTAATAATTACACACAGCTGCCATTTGTTGAGTGTTCACTAGGTGCTAAGCACTTTACATGTACCCATATTCTCTCCCAGCAACCCTATTAGTAGGTATGATTCCCGTTTCCAAGTGAAAAAACCTAGGACTGGAGTAATAAAGCAACTTCCCCAAGGTGTCACAGACTGGGTGCGGAACCACTGCACTACTTGGCCAGCCTGTGCATGCCAGATGAGCACCAGGCTTGGGCTCCCTAGAAGAGAAGGATCAGCCAAGACTGCGGTATCCCAGAAGGCTTTGTGAGGGAGGCAGGTAGATGTGGCTCCTGTATTTGTGTTTGGGAAAAGGAAGTTAGAGGTGCAAAACTTCCTTTCTACCTCTGACCCTTTGCCATTTTTGGTCTCTTGCCTGAAATGCTCACTTCTCCTGGCTCTTCAAAAGACAGATTTGTTCTTACTACCCTTTGAGTAAGAGCTTCTCTGCTTATCCTTTCTAGCTGGTTATATTTTTCTAATGACAGCTCCAAAAATATTGTTCGTCCTATATGCTCTTTGACCAAGAGAATACTGTGAAGAGACGCCCTATCAGTTCCAGCATGACACCTGTTTTACAACCATCCCAGGCTGGATAGGTTCACCATTGGTTCAGGCAACTTAAAGAGAAACTTACAACCCTTGGCATTATTCCCACAGGTTTTTTAATAGTACACAGGGCAAACAAGCCAACAGAGAGACAGCAACCTGGGCCTCCTGCAAATTTCTATATGTGCTTTCCTGTGGACTTTTCTGGTACGGTCTCTTCCTCTCACAACCGTCACTATTCTTGTAGCCATTCTGCCATAGTTGTCTTTGAGTGACATCACCCTTATAGCCGCAACCTCCATGCCAGGTGTGCCCACTTACACATGCCCATACCATATTCCAGGTGTCCACAATCAGGCACGCAGGAGTCGTTACTGGACTCAGCACTTTCATATTTTAACAATCTAACCAAGACCAGTCAGAGCTCCCTCCCCAGATTCTGACTCTGGAGGCAGAAAAGCCAGCCACACATGTCAGATACTGTGGTAAGTCGAGTCAGGGGCCTTGTTCAGAGCAGGTTACTCAGAGAAGGATCTTGACCACCTGTATTAGAGGCTACTGGCTGAGCCCAGCTCTACAGTATTCCATCAGCTCCTTCCCTGCCTCGGGCTGGGCCCCAAGTGATACCAAGAACACTGAGCATGGCAGAATGAAGAACCAAGGCAAGAGGCTACCTCCTCCAGGTAACAGGTCATCTTCTACATGCTAGAAAGTCCAGGGGCACCTTTGTCTTAGAGTCTGCAGGGCCCAAGCAGCAGTGGCACATCATTATCTGAGCTGTTTCTCTGGGCCTCCAGGAGTCTCACCACAGATAACCAACTTTGATTGTCCAAGGCCTGTTCATTTCTTGCTTTCTACAAGGTATGGATGCAGGTGTGGACTTCACACTCATCTGTCTCTGAACACATAGTACCAGGTCCTCATCCTGTGTTCAAGGACCTGCCAAAGCTCTGTACCAAGGAGAGGCCCATGTGCCAATGGTGGGTTCATTAAAGAGGTCATCAAACAGAATTTCCACCAGAAGATGGATTACATGTCAACACCGCAAGGGTCTACCTCTCCCAGGAAAATCCAGACTCCTTAACTTCTTAAAACCCAAGATCTCCCACAGTTCTGAAACTTGAAATGTTTTATTCATAAACTGACATTCATTGAGTGTCAACTGCTTGTCAGGTAATACTGGGCTCAAGATCTTGGACTGTAGGGTTAGACAGACATAGAAACAAATACAATTGGATAGTTTGAGTTTTATGAAAGAGGTATGTGCAGAATGACATAAGAACTGGAGAAGAGAAGCATACCTTTCCTCTCCTGCCTGCTGCTTCTCTTAGCCATGCATTCAATAAATTTGCCTATACTTTTTTTTTCTCAAAAAAAAGAAGAAGAAGAACTCAGGAAAAGCATCAGACTCTCCCTTTGGCAGAGTAGGTGATGTTCAGTCTCCAGGAGATTACAGAGGAAGCAAAGGCCCAGGGCTCACACTTTCAGGTCCCCTCAAGAGAGTCCAGAACTTCATCTCTCTGATGGAAGTGTAACAAGGTGGTCCCTAGGCAAAGGGGAAGTTCCAGGTTCCCTGCCCCATCCAGAGGTAGGGTGGAGCTGAGAAGAAGAAGGATGCAGGATGGAGAGCCAGAAGGAGACCTGAGGAAGCCACATGGAGCAAAGGGAGCCATGTGAGGAAACCGTGTTTATTGCTTGGCCCTGGGCTGGTTGAAAGAGATGTGGGTGAGAGACCTGTGGGGAGGTGACTATGGCAGTGTTTATCTTGATTTTTATTTTGCTCTTTTCCTCCCAGACTTGTCTGCCATTTCAGACCCTTTCCCATGGGTCCCGGCCAGAGGTGCTTTAGTCTTGTGGCGGCTTTCAGGCCTCGTTTTAGACCAACCCCTTTTGGGTGGACTTTTGTCCACGAGGGGATGGGTAACTTCAGGTGTTTGACTTAGAAGTTATATTCTTTGTTTTCTGTATTGTATATTCAC